TATACCACACACACCTTGAAATCTTAAGAGTGAGATTCTCCAAACTGGAAGTCGTTTTTGAAAGAATGTATACAACGCCTTGCTTTTAACAGAAATTCCTGCTCTTCTTCCCATGTTGTGCTTTTGTTCTTTGAAGATTATCTTGTTTTGTTGTACTTCTCTTAAAGACACTTGAAATAAAGTAAACTGAAGTTGAAGATTTACTGGAAAATAAAAATCACTATGCACACACACAAAAAAATCCTTTTTCCTCAAATTGTGCCCATCCATGGCATGGAGTGCTGGACATGGCTGGAAGTGGCCCCCACTTGAGCAGCCACAGCCACACTGCAGCCCTCAAATGCTTCCTTTTCTTTCTGGAACTCCTTTGAATTTTTCTACATTTCACTAAACACCCCAACACTTTTATGAGTCATGTCCACTAGTGTTTATTGCGCTGAAAAATTTTAAGAGAATTTAAGCATTCGTTAAAGGAACAGGAAACCCAGGACATGTTAACTCTGGAAGGAAAGGAGTGGCGAAAAAACCCTTTCTCTAAACAAGAATGGCCTGTATTTTGTGACCTAAATTCTGGCTAAACAAAGCATGGCTAAATTTTTCTATCTGTTTCTGTGTTCAATCAGCTTCAATAACTTGTTTTAAGTTGATGTACACAAAGATAACCTGGCATGCCATCCACTTTGTCATTTACAAAACATGGGGATTCCATGTAACCTCCCAGAATCAGGCTTTCACCCCATATTCTGAGAGGATCGCCGATCTCACCCAAAGCATCTGTAGCATGGGAAGCTGTCATGCTCACAACCTCAGAAATAAGCTTCCCAAAACCTAATGTCTGCTTAAAGCCCCAATATTTTACAGACCAGAATACAGCCAAATTGTTTTCCTTGACATGAAAGGTTCACTTCATTCTCAAATGTGTCTACTAAGTACTCAATATGAATACCAACATTACTTGTTGCTTCAAATAAAAGACCTTAGGTATCAAGGGTCAGGCTCATTAGAAAATTAGCATTTTTCTTTGCAGTGTTGGGGATGGAATCCAAGATTTCATTCACATTAGGCAAGGCCACCACTTAGCTAACAACACACTAGCCAAAGTTAACATTTGAAGCTTAACATCTGAACTTTTCCTTCCAGCTTTGAAAGGTGACACACACCTGTCATAATTCCAGACCCTGGAAGGCTAAGACAGGAGGTTCACTTGTTAGAGGCCAGCCTGGACTACAGCAAGACTCTGTCTCAAAAATATCAGGATTTATAAAAGTAGAAAGGAGGCTCTTCAGTGGAGGGACAACACAGAGGAGGGTGGGGACAAGACATGGTGAAGGGGAAAATACAATAGAAGTACATTATACAGATGTGAAAATGTCATGATGAAACCCACTGTTGTATACATTATATGCTAATAATAAAAGACAGAGCTGGGCCTGGTGGCGCACGCCTTTTATTCCAGCACTTGGGAGGCCAAGGCAGGCTGATCGCTGCGAGCTCAAGGACAATCTGGTCTACATAGTGAGTTCTAGGCCAGCTGGGGCTACAGGGAGACTCTGTCAAAAAAGACCAAATAAATAAATAAAAGACAGAAAAAGAACTTCTGTCTTTGAAAGAGGGTCTTACAACTACATAGCCCAAGCTGACCTCAAACTTGAAATCCACTTGATTACAGGTTCTAGTCACCCTGCATGACTTCGGCCAAGCTGCATGGGAAGTAAACAGTTACCCACATGGGGCCACCTCTACCTTGACTGCTCTAAGGTACAAGAGCACCATCACCACTGCTCTCACACCAATGGTACAAAACCTCAGAGCAAAAAGAAACAACATTTGGATGCCATGAGCTGCTGGAGCTCATGTCCCTCAGAAGGATTTTGATGGTATAAAGCACACCCGGCTCACTCTGCACCACCCTCGATTCCCTTCCTTGGGACAGCTCCCAAACTACTAGGAAAACTACTCACAGTCTCCTCTAAGGCTCACTAGGTATCTCTTCCGGCAACCTCAACAACATTGAGCATGTGGCGTGGGTACTAAGTCACTGATTCTGGGCACTTTCCTTTACATCTTTTTAATTCAAGTCTGACAGAACTCAGCTGATGAAAATAATGATTTGGCCAACAGTACAAAGCAAGAACACAGTAAAGCTTCCATAATGTACATTTCACAAACCCAGAGGTTCTCAACCAGCCAACTTTGCAACCCAGAGCACATCTGGAAAAGACTGGAGACATCTGTGTGGTTATCACCATAGGGAAGCTGCTGAGCCAGTGTTCCTGACATCTAAGTAGAGGTCAGAGAGACTGTTAAATACCCCGCCAGACAAAGGATAGCCCCCATGCAAGGAATTATGTGGCCTAGATGTCAAGAGCACTTAGATGAGAAACTCCTTTGATGGATCCTAATACTTCCAAAACTTTTACATTTCCCAACATGGTCCTTAAAACATGCCTGCATTTTCCAAATTATGTATGCAGGCGTCTACAAATTCAGACAGTGTAGACACATGATGTTTTCCAATTATTTAATCCACGCTTACAATTTTCAGGTGTCTGCTCCAAACTCTACTCATCATAACCAATTTAACAGGCACACCAAAAGTCACACTCAACACATCTAAGGAGAATTAATGGCAACGTGACACCAGAAGATGAAAATCAAGGACCAGCCTTGTGGGGTATGCTTCTCAGCTAGAAGCCTTCAGTTCAACCCAAGCAGCCCCCACAGGGGTGGGGTAGGATGAGGTGGGGGTGGTAAAGAAAGCCTATCTTCTTTAGTTTTCAGCTTTCCTGTTTTGCTTAAGAGAATTACAGAGCCTGGCCAGCAACACGTGCCTTTTAGTTCCAGTGCTGGGAGGCAGAGGTAGGCAGATCTCAGTTCAAAGACCAGTCTGGTCTACATAGCAGGCCGGCCACCTGAGGCTACAGGGCTAAAGAGGGCTAGCTAAAAAACCGGTCTTAGACTGAAAATCCCAAAAGAAACACTGAAAAGCAGCATCTGCATGTCACTCTCCTGCCTCCTTCACTTTATACATCTGAACTGAGTCACAAAGACTGAAAAAATTAAGGTCTGTAACTGGAAATTTCCTTTTTAACCTTGAGTGTTCCTGCTCATCTCTGTACTGTTCCAAGTAAAAATGGGAATGTATACCTTCCTTACACTTTTATTCCCAAGGAGACAGTTACTTAACATTTCTAAATTGAAGCCTTTCCCTTAGGTTGCACATCTTTCGAGTTTTTCACTGTGTATCAGAAGTCTCTTTCCAAAAACAAACAACAAAGCTAGTGTGGTGACATGCCTTCAATCCTACTTCCAGATTAGGGAGGCAGAGACAGGGGAATCCTGCGGGGGAGGTAGGGCACAGCAACAAGACACCAGGGACCTGAAAGGACATCAACTAATACAAGGTTATCATCACATGACAACACCCTACCCAAGTTTTATCTGAATCTCAATGAACTGAAAAATGTCAAAAGCACTCTCCTAGTGCTTTTTCCTACTCCAAGAATGAACCAATTAACAAGGACCTTGCAATCTTAAATCTGTGCACTACAGTTAATTAAGCCTAACAAATGTTATTACGGAAAAAAAAAAATTGACAGGCTTCCTAAGGAAACAGGGTGAGGTGAAGTGAGGCATGGGGAGCCTATCTTCACATTATCATGTTCAATTCCAGAGATGTTATGAGGCTGTTAACACCTACTGTGTATTGTGCAAAACCGATCATAGGTGCAAAAAACAAATTATTTTTAAACAAGATCTTCATCTTGGATTTAACTTAAGCAAAACTTTGTCAACTACAAGCTTTCTTTCAGGGATTATAAAGATGAACGAAACTCAAAAGGGTTAAGACTTCTACACTTCAGGGGCTGGAGAAATGGCTCAACAGCTAAGAACACTGCTCTTGTATAAGACCCAGGTTCTAATCCCAGCACCCACATGGCAGCTAACAACGGTCCATAACTCCAGTCCCAGGGGATCCGACAGCCTCTTCTGTCCTCCTCGGGCATTGCACGACACGGGTGCACTTACCTACATGCAGGCAATACACACATAAACAAAAAAAAGACTCCTACACTTCAGTCTCAAACATGGAAGACACAGAGTCCTCAGCCTCTGCCCCCATGTAGGTAAGCAAAATACAAGCTCTGCAGCTACTTTCTGATCCCAACAACGGGCTTTCTTAGGAGTACGGGGAGGAGAGGAAGCATTTAAAATAAAACCCACAAGGTAAAAGAAAGTGTGCAAAACAGACTTAACGGGATCAGAAGGCCCCAAGGAACTAGCTTGAAGCCTACGCCATGAAACACAGAAGTGACTAGTTTGCTGGGGGCGGTAGGAGCCCTGGGGGCCGCGTCGCAACAATGCAGGGAGGAGGCCGGCCAGGAGTGCTCCGGGTCCGGATCGGGGTCGGGGAGGACCACGGCCAGGAGGGATCCGGATCCGAGCCGAGGAGAACAGCCAGGAGGGATCCGGGTCCAGGTCAGGGAGGACAGCCAAGTGGGATCGGGGTCCGAGAGAATACCCAGGAATGACCAGGAACGGCCAGGAGGGATCGGGATCCGGGTCGGGGAGAACAGTCAGGAGGGGTCCCAGTGGGGGTCGGGGAGGAGGGCGGCCAGGAGGGATCAGGATCCGGGTCTGGGTCGGGGAGGAAGACGGCCAGGAGGGATCGGGGTCGGGTCCGGGAGGACGGCCGGGAGTACTCGGGGTCCGAGCCAGGGAGGCCGCAGGGCCCTGTGCACCAGCCAGTCCTCTCCCGGGCTCCGCCGCGGGAAGCGGAAGTGGGGAGACCCGGGCGCACGCCGAGGAAGCGGGCCTGCAGCTCCCGGCGCTGGCGGAGGCTTTGTTCCGCGGAGCTCCGAGGGGACGTGGGTCTTCGCAGCGCGCAATCCCGCGATTCCGCGGGTAAGGCCGTGGCCCCGGCCGGCCCTCGCTGCTCGCCGCGCGCCTCCCCCGCCCGCCCGCCAGAGGCCCGGCGCGCCGCACTCCACACCACTTACAACGGCATCGTCTCCGGCGCCGGCACCGCCCAGTCACTTCCCCCCGGCGACCACCGCCGCTGCCGCCCTGAGCATGATCCACCGAGGCGGGAGGGACGCGGAGGCCTGCCTCAGCCCTGGGACTAACCCAGTCCGGCACGCGCGCCCCGCCGCTTTAAGTGCTTCTCCTCCTTCCCCTTCGTCCTAACATGGCGCCGGAGCGCTACCACAGCAACGTTCTAGAACTGCTGACGTCGCCACGCACGCCGCGTGCGTGCGCCTGCGCAATAGCCTCCTGGCGTCTCGTGGCCTCATGGGAAATGTAGTTCTGGGCCCGCAGCGGGCCAGCGATTTCCACGTTGATTTCAGGCTTCCGAGGTGGTGGGTGGGAATGGTGTGAGAGGCTTCGAGCGACAGGCCAACGTTTCCTCGCGTGGGGACGCTGTAGTGGCCGATGAGGGTAAGGAAGCGTAGGCGGCCATGAGAGGGGCCTCCCTGGTGGGCTGGGTGCGCTCTGAAGCCGGTCCTCCCAGACGCCGAGGGGGCGCGGCCACCACGTGCTGCAGACGCTCAGGCTGCCGGGGACCTTGCGGCATCCTGGCTAACTGTTCAGCCGCTTCGTGAGAGCAGGGCCATCCTGACAGCTCTGTGAGGACCTAAATGTGATGGTGCCCGAAGAGGTGCCCAGCTCAGAGCCTGCCTGAAGTGTGGCCGTGGGCTCCGTGTTGCCCTGTGATGTGTTCCTGATGCCGGTGCCCAGGCTTAGCGAGAATTTACTAAATGAGCAAGTGTTCAGGACCGAGATGACGGGTTCTGGAACACGAGCTAATTTGACTTTAAAAAAAAAAAAAATTTATTTGTTATTTTCATTTTATGTGTATGAGTGTTATGCCTGCATGTAGGTAAGTTCACCCGTGTCGTGCAATGCCCGCGGGAGGTCAGAAGACGCTGCCGGATCCCCTGGGACTGGAGTTACGGACAGTTGTTATCTCCCATTGGGTGCTGGGATTCCGCAAGAACAGTGTACTTAACCGCTGGGCCATCTCTCCAGCCCCCATAATTTGATTTCTTAACCGTGCATAGCCACAAACTCGCAATATAGCATAGGCTGGTCCTGAACTTCAGATCCTCCTGTCTCCACCTCCTGACTGCTGGGATTCTAGTTAGAGACATGGCTTTGTCTCTGCCCTTGAGAGTTCTGAGATGGCTCAGTGGTTAAGAACACAAGCTGCTCTTATAGAGGACCTGGGTTGGGTTCCCAAGCATCCACATGACAGCTAACGATCATCCATAACTGGGTCCAGGGGATCTCGTGCCCTCTTCTGGCCTCTGTAGGCATTGCACACACGTGGTACACTTACATACATGCAGGCAAACAAATACACATAAAATAAAAATTAAAATTTTTAATTAAAAGAGGAAAGCCACACAATAAGCTCATGAACAGACAAGGGAATGACAGATTGTGCTAAGAACTATGAATCAAAAGAAATCAGGTGATGGGGTTGGGGGCAATTTCCGATAGGGTGAGGTGATCAGGCACACAAAACCTTCCAGAGGAGCTGGCCTTTGAGCTCAGACGTGACACTGCTCTGAAAGTTGGATTTTTGGTGAACAGTGGAATCACTGAAAGTTTTAAATTTTGTTTTGTTTTGTTTGGGCACATCTTTTTTTTTTTTAATTAGAAGAAGCATTTCATTACAACAACATTAACCTATTCAATAACATTTTTCTGAGCTAGGGTACATCTCTTTCAAAATTGGCTGTACATTTTTAGGTTTACAGAGGAATTATTACGCTTGTACAATCTTTTACTGATTATAAACTCTACAAGACATAAAATTAAATGAGGTTTTAATGTTTAGAAAAGATCTCCACTTCGTTGTTAAAATACAGTTTCATACAGAAAAATTCATTTTAAGGCAACTGACATTGAGACGTTTTCACATGCATTTCTAATCTCTATATATATGACTATTACTGGTCACAGTCACTTACTTTCTGAGTTCCGTGGCATCTGAGTATGAATATAAACTCGTCAGATAAACAGCCTTCTTCTCCCTCTAGAGCCTCCATACTCTGTCATCCCTGCCAATGTCCACTGTGTTGTCAGGACCCCCATCTATTGCCCCCATCTGTCCTTCTGATAAATCTAGTCAGCCAGAGGTCCCTGTTCCAGGAGGATCAGCTGTTCCTCATCTACAGCAATCCATTGTCAGTATTCCTTTGGATAGAATTGGGG